CACAAATTAGTTAGCATAAATCAGTTAAATGACGAAAAAGTAGGTGTCTATTTACTTGTAACCACTCAGTGTGTACATCTGTCGATTTCATTATTTTTTTAAATTAAACCAATGTTGTGTTTTGTTTGATTTAAAATTTTCGCGCAAAACTACACAAGGGCTATTTACGCATAACAGTCCCTAATTTAGAACTGTTAGACTGAAAGGTCAACAGCATTCACCGCCAGCTTTTGGGCTACTCGGTGTTTCGATATTATTATAAAATTTGAGTTCTATATTTAATGTAAATATTCATGTTGGTGTTTATATAATCAGTTTTGGTCTGGTGGGTAGGGTATCCGACTCAGAATCTGTGGGTCGCGAATTCGAATCCCGTCACCGAACGTGCTCACCCTTTCAGCCGTTATTTACAAAGACTATAGCGCAACTCATTTGTATGAGGCCTGGCATGGCCAGGTGGTTAGGGCGCTCGTCTCGCAATCTGAGGGTCGCGGGTTCGAAATCCCGTTCCACCAAATATAGGCATTATAAAGTGACGGTCAATCCAACATTTCCATCTAGTATATCACTACTAAATTAGTTGTAGCTACCGCAATATTCAAAAACAAACAAAAATAAACCAATTTTCCTGTGACTACATAGGTATGTAAAGGAAATTGCTATGTTGTAGCATATATTCAAACTTCATACAAAGGTTAATATGAACTGTAAAAACATCTAAAATGAACTCTTTTTTACTGTAAGTTGGATAGTTTATAACTATAACACTCGGGGTTCTTTCCCTGCAGCGAACACAGCACAGATAACTCATTGTGTAGCTTTGCCCTAAAATAAATAAAAGCATATTACTGCTTCTTAGTTTTGATAAATCAGACGTTAAAGAACTTCTGTTTTATAGTTCATAAGTTACATTTTTTGAATTGCTTTGAGCTTATTCAAATTTCAATAAGATATTAATTATTCCCTTGCTACATAAGTATATCAGAGTGTATTTTGCTGTATGGTTAAGTTTTACATTTTCAGAGGGTGTTTTTAATATTTCTCTGCATATTTATTCATTTTTACGAAATTGTGTTTCTTTCACTATATGGACCATTCTTTATTTCGCGGTTCTTTTTATTAATATATTAAGGTTTCCTAAGAATGTTTCTATTAAAATATCATATGGTAGCATCGGTCTGAGAGTTTCTAGGAAATGTGAAAAAAGTATTTAAAATATCATAAATGCTCATTGGATTTGTTTTATCCGGGAACTTCTCAAACTTGCAATCTCTTGCCCGGTTTGAAATTAACAGGTATATAATACTATACATAAAAGCTCAAGTTTCCATTCGTTAGGCGGAGAAACAAAACAAGTTTAAGAAACGGAAAACTCTATAAAGATCTACAACTTTGTTTTAATAAGTATAAGGAGTTTTTAGATGGACGGATTACATACACATCTTAAGTTTTCATGAAACATTAAACAATAAATATTAAACATTTTAGGAAATTACATTTCCTTCGTTGATCCAACTTTACAGATAGTTTCTTGCATAATCCTGAAAGCACCATCACAAATCTGTCGGATTATCAATTAAGTTACAGTGAATAGAGAGTCAGTCCAAAGTAAAGGTTTGTTCTTTGCTTTTCCACTTCCTAAACTCAATTTATTCCGCTACATGGTTCTGCTTTGAGTCCCTTCTTTATTAATTAAAAGCTGAGCCAATCCAGGCTAAACGTGATCTGAATTTTTATAATATTCAGGCACATATAAGTCTAGTCTAATATTTGATACGTTTTACAAATACAACCATCGTGACAAACCAACGTTACGAAATGGTGCCTCACCAAAGTTTGTACCTTAAACATATTGTTATCGCAAAGTATGATAAAAGAAATGGAGTAGTTATACATGATATAATTGATTATATTAACGAAGTTGAGCACATTTTGCATCAAACTAAATTTAAAAATCTCCCTCAAAATCTTACTTCAAGCAGAGGATTTAAATTTTAAATGTTTTTATTTAAAATTAAATACGACATCATTATCATAGCATTATATTTACAATTATAAAGGCCTGTTGGTTCTCACCCTAGTATTCTTTAAGGATTACGAAAAAACTCACAAAGGCCCATTGTTTCCACCATTGGTACTGAAAACCGTAAGGTGAATGTTTTTTAACTCTCTTTTTTTCTAAAGGAGTTTACTTAGCATGAACTTACTGTCAATGACACTTTAACCCTTTATAACCAAGTAGTAATGGTCAAGCCAATTCTTTTTTAGCACATGTTAATATTCAATACCATAATATTGAATATACTTCTGAATTTGAATTTTCTTATTTTAGATACACTTGTTGAATAAACCTCGTCTGTTTTTCATGTGAGTTGCTTTCAAAGACAGATTTATACGGGTTTTTATTACAACTTTGAAAATTTTATATCTTTTTAAATGCAATCTTGGTTTCTTCTGACCAGGCGTGAACAACGTATTGTAGCAATATTTCCTTTTTCAAACAAGAATTGGCTAAAATTAAACGTGTTGCGAAAGAAATATTTCCCACTTGATTTTGTGGGAAATAACATTAAACAGACAATGCAGCCTATTTCTAATACTACACAGTCTTTACTTTTGCCTACAGTTGATAAACTCTCTATCACCCTTACACTTTATTATCTAGGTGATGAATATTTGTATTTAAAATATCAAATTTTCAAATTCCTCAACACCGCTTCTCCTCAGTTGCAGTCCTTTTTGTCTTCGAAGCTTCTACACACTTAAAGACAACCTTCAAAAATCCCAAACAACTTTAGGAGTATACAAATATACGTGTTTTATGCACTCTAAAAACTTGGTTTAACGACCAGGCGTCTCCGACAAAGGATTTCTGAATATGTGTCTTTTTCTAATTACAAAAACTGTTCTAACAGACCATCTTGATCTTTTTTTTTTCTATGCCACTGATGTACTCTTAGATTTTAAGAATCTGTGGCCATTATGGCTTAAAAACCAGAAATGAACCTAACGGATAGTTCCATTATTATTCTCAGAATTGAATAAATAGTTAATCTCTCTATTCCTTGGTTTTTTAGATATTTGAGTGGTTACATTTAATATTGTGAACATCTTTTTTAATGGAGATGTTTCTTTTAAGCAATTAAAGCTTGCTTAATCACACATTACATGAAGACGGCTCTCTCCTATGACCTCAAACGTCACAGTTTTCCTTGCTTTAGAGAAACACTTCCACTGTAAGTAACTCGAGATCACTAAATCACTACTGTTTAAATGACACGTAATACCGATATTATTGAAATAAAGGAAAGAATATAGACAATGTCTATATTATCAAGTGAAATAAAAAGTAAGAAATAATTCAAACGTAAACGGTCAACTTGAGAGGGTTTGTTCAGTAAGCCAAGAGGTTCTTGCTCTTAGAAATTGAAGATGTGAGAATGGGGAGCCCCATTGCACCCCGTCTTTGCAAATCAAGAAAATAGATCCACAAAACCACAAATAAAATAATATATCATATAGGATACAATTTATGTAATGTGGAGAATCTTATATACAAAGGACTCCATGAACACAAGCACAAACTAACTTCTC